GTCAGAGTCTCACTCTGTCACCCAGGCTGGAGTGCAGTGGCACACACACAGCTACCCCAGGGTCACCCTGCTGGGCTCAGGCAAGCCTTCTGCCTCAGCCTTCCAAGTAGCTGGAACTACAGGTGCACGCCACCACACCTGGCTAATGTTCTGATATGTTGTAGAGATGAGGTCTCCCCAAGTTGCCCAGGGTGGTCTCGAACCCCTGGGTTCAAGCAATCCTCTCACCTCGGCCTACCAAAGTGTTGGGATGACAGGCTTGAGCCATCATGCCCGGCTGGAGCACTTTTTCTCGGATGAGTTTGCAAACTTCACTGTGAGATCTTGTACATGAGTGAAGGTAGTGTGGACTTACAGCCAGCTCAGTTTGGACAGACAGGGCTTCTACTGAGCCATAATCCATTACAACCTAGCTATAGCTTTTTAAATTTTTTTTTTAGTGGGAGAAGCAGTTCACTGCCACCCCATCATCACCCACATGGTCCCTCTCCCTCCCCACGCTTCCCACAGGTCCTACTGAGAGTGAGACGCTCTTGTGGTCTGTGTCCCCTGCAGCCTTGCCCTGTTGCTGTGACTCTGCTTATCTTGTCATTTGCTCATTTATCTCCCTGCTTGGTCTGTGAGGCCCTCGGAGGGGAAGCCAGACTCACAGGACACACTTAATTAGTATTTGTTGAATGAACAACTGCGTCACAGGTGGTGAGCAGCACAACCGTGTTCTCCTGTTATTTCCTGCAACACATTTCTCAGAAGAGCATTCATGGAAGACCTCATTTCTGTCCATTTTCAGGTAATAGAAGAGAATATATTATAAAGGGCCTTCTTGTTTAAAAATATGCTGACAAACCATGTCTGACGCATCTCGACGGTACATTTTGAACCTTGCCAAATTGTGCTTCCTTTGATTTCTCGATAAGAAGCTAATTCTGTTTTAATGAAAGGAGCACAGAGAATATATTGCTTTGACATATGTATTCATTCGGCAAGTATTTGTTGAGCGCTTACTGTGTGGCGACTGCTGGTCTAGGATAAAGACATAAACAAGAGAGACCAATAAAAAGAGGAGAAAAAAGAAGCAAAGTTATTTCCAAATTCAGCCACAGAGCTGAACCATTATTGTAGCTACCCATATAAACTGTGCTTTGTGAAGAATGGAGTTGCATAGAAAATTTTTTTTTAATGATGGGTTCATAGAGGGATGATTCCCATGGAAGTGGGCCTCTTAGCCGGGCTCGGTGGCTCAGCCTGTAATCCCGTGCCTTAGGGAGGCTGAAGTGAGTGGATTGCCTGAACCCGCGGGTTCAAGACCCGCCTGGGCAGCGAGACCTCATCTCTACAATAAATCAAAAAATCAGCCGGGCGTGGTAGCGCATGCCTGTAATTCCGGCTACTTGGAAGGCTGAGGCGGAAGGATCGCCGGAGCCCAGTAGGTCGAGGCTGCGGTGGCCGGGAGCGGCCACTGCACTCCAGTCTGGGCGACAGAGTGAGACTCCAACTTAAAAAAAAAAATAAAAAGTGGGCCTCTGGTGTCTGAAGGAAGGGAAGTGTCAACAAAGAACAGTATATGGTGAAAACTGGGGCTGCCCAAGTAGAACTTGCTTTTGCAATTTCACCTTGAGCAGCTATCACTCTGAGCTGGATACTGCACCATCTACAACATAACTCAAACCCCAATTCTGAATTTTAGGATTATTACCCATTTCACAGATGAGGAAATTGACCTTCAAAAGTTTTGTCCACAACAGGAATATACTCAGCCACCTTCGGCTCCTGACACAATAGCATAAAAGGGACCAGAGCCCGGTTGACAGCTGGCATATCGCATGTGGGTGTAGCCACCTATGCAATCACGCATTAGAAACCCAAACCACTGACAGACTGAGTGACTAAGCCCCCTCACTGACCCTCTCTGACTCCCTAATGCTGTAAAAACTAATCAAAAAACATGCACAAGAAGACTAAACAGTTTAACGTCCTTATTCTTAAAATACACAGTATTTAAAGCTCATCCCCAAATGCAAAAATACATCTCTCACTGGAGGAGATGAAAGACTGTTTTGTGGAGAAACCAGCAGAAAGAATTGTGTATTGTAAGAAAGAAGAGATAATGTAGATGATAAAGAGGAAACTATGTCTACACTTGTCTGTGTGCATGATTCCAAAAGATGTGCTCACTGGGGTAAGGCCCAGAGGAGGAAACACCTCTAAGGAACTGATAGTCACGTGGGAGCCAAAATTCGCTTCCAAGAAACTACAGTAAGTCCCCTACATGTAAACTTTCAAGCTGTGAACTTTCAAAGATGCGAACATGTGCTCATATGTCCAATCAAGTAAGTTAGTTCATGCGTCTTGTGTACATGGTCATTTGCATGCATTCTCTTACAAGTGGTGGTAGTGCTTTTGTGCACTTTATTACACAGTTCTGCATAGAGTGCAGTAGCCTTATTTCAAGTTCTGGATGTCCAGAAACAAGCATAAAAGCAGTGGTGATGTAGCTTGCACCGTATAGCTGATTGTGTTGGTTTGGTACCCAGGCTAACTTTGTAGGACTTACAAACAAACTGGACTTAATAAATGCACTCTCAAAACAGAACTCATTTATATGTATGGGATTTAAGGTAAATTTTACATAAGAACTTGCAGATCTAACGTTACATGATGTGTTTTGAAAGAGTAGGAAGGAACTTAAAGAGTTTTACACTTGTGACTTTTCTTCCTTTTATTAATTTTTTTGTCATATGCATATGAAATGAATATATATACATATATTTTATCTCCTATGATATCTGAGTAACTTTTATTTTAATTGACCATTTTTCCTGCCCATATGAGAGAGTTTAAGTTCCATTTTTAACTCACATTTTTCCCTCGCTATTTTCTTTTTTCATAACTATGGAACTAACTGGCACCTGATTGCTCTGAAATCTCAATTCCAGGGCAGTGGTCTTCAATGTGCACACAAATAATAAGCTTTCTCTAGACTTTCCAAGAGATTCTGAGGCTTACTTATCCACATTCACGGAGCCTGTTTGCAGTGTTCAGATTTGAATGGTGTGCCATTTTGCGCAATTTTCAGTCATATTTCATATTATTATTTCAATGTCTGACACTCTCTGGAGTCTCAATACACCATCCTTTCCATCTCACAGGTCTTAGTATTTTAGATGCTGTCTCCCTCATGCAAGCTGCCCAAAAAAACCTTTCCTTCTTATTCCAAGCACATCTTTTTTGAGATCTGCACCATAAATCCTAAATGAAGGTCTGAAGGTAATAACAGCAGAAATATCATTCATCCCACTTTCTCAGGGAGTATACTGGTGAGTTATTTAGACTGTAAGCTTCTTCTTCCAGTTTGGGGAACACCTTATTTCTCTGGAGGTCTTGTTTTAACTTACCTCTCAGTCCACGTCGACACCCACTCTGAAGACTCCCCGGTGATGATCTACCTGACACCATTCGTTCAGCTTCCCTGACTGTCCTTATCACCAAGACTCTAAGAACACACACTTGGACTCTCTTCCCCATTCTTATGAGTTTCTCCTGCATGTTCATCTAAGCATCACCGCAACATGACTCAAACATTAAGACAATAACCCTTTTTTGCTTTTTTTTTTTTTGTAAAAATGCTGAAGATCTATTCTTCCCTGAAGACACTAATGAAAAGCACTTTGAAGATTGTACAGCATGGTGATAGCAATGCATCATATTCTAGAAATGCATAGTTAATAGCAATGCATCATATTCTTGAAAAATGCTAAGAGGGTGGTGCCAAAAAAAGTATACACATTTTAAGGGAAGTTATCTGTGCATTACTTTTCGGAGTTGGAATGAACTATGGTAGCACTGTGCAGAATCACATTCGCTCAAATGATGGCGTTCATCAAATGAATGCTAGCGTCACCATGTGACAGGCAGGACAGTCAAAGAAAATGATCGAAGTACAGTGTCGTTCGAAGAGCACAAGGCCATTTTGAAGTGATATTTGGCCTAATACCCATTCACTTCTACCTATGGGGGACCTTAAAGGATGTGGTGCACATAAAGAACCGGCTGCAATGGCTGCACATCAGTAAGAAACTGAAACATCGTTCACAGCGACACAAGGGTCAACGTTGCTCTAGCAGTAGTGTGCTATCATTCGAAGTGTCTGGACGCTGATGGGAACTACTTTGAGCCTCTTGTGATTGCAGAAGTCAAACGTGACTTGTATGTATCTTTTGTTACCGGTATATATTGAGTATTACCATTTTAATACAGCTTTTTCCTTTCTTAAAATCTGTATACATTTTTGTCATCCTCTGTGTATATATTTATAGAGAGAGAGATGCCTAGAATAGAACCTAATGCATAGTGATCAATAGACATTTGCTAAATTCGTAAATGTGAGGTTAAGACTCCTCCACGATTCCACAATTCGAGAAATTAATCACTAGGCAATAATTATTGCATGTACTGATCTATGAGAGATTTGACTAAGAATAAACCGTGATTTTTCTTTTTGTATGTATCTGTTTCTAGACCATCGATGCAGAAACCTTTATAATCTAGTCTCAAAAGTTTTGCTCACAGAATTTTCTTGCAGGGCGATGTTCCTCTGTGTTAATCGTTTCACTTACCCCACGCTAAAGCAGGTTTAATTTTTAATTAGGCAGCGGTAACAGGAGAGCCTGATGAATTTGTTTTAAACCTTCTAATGGGTGAATATTCACAAGGAACAGCAACCCACTTTCTGAATCCGTCTGATACCTCTCACTCAACACAGAGGTAGGGTCGGGAGTTAAGGAAATGATGTGTAAGTAGCTTTTCCCTAAGAGGCTTAGAGATTGGAATAAATATTATGTATATGTCACGATTAAAGAGCTGTTGGTGGGCCAACAATTGGATTTATTTCTATTAAAAACATATAAAGGCCACGGGACTGCCGCGGGCCCCTCCAAGACTGGCCGCCAGAGCATGAGTGACCCCCGACCGCGAGGCTTTCTCTGTCCCCTCTGGCTGACCTTCGCTGGCTGCTTCCTTGGCGGCTGCAGAGAGGCAGGCACTCACGGCCTCGTAGGAGGCGCTCAGCCGGGTGTTGGGGTCCCTCTTGGGCTTGGGGGGAGGCTGTTTCCGCGGTGATGGGAGGCCACTGCTGTCATCCATGCTGAACACTGAGTGCAGGGAGGGAGACCAGATGGACGGGGCGGCGAGACACTGGCCTGGGCCGTCCACGGCTGTGCAGACCAGGATGGAGCTAGAATGGAAATTCCTGGGTCCACTCTTGTCTTCGGTTCTTAGAGGGAGACAAAACACAAACAGCAACACCCCAGAGAGGCCCAGATGCATTATTCAGATCACAATGAACCTGCTCAAGCAGACATAATGGCGGCTTTTTGGCAAACAGCCTTTCCTGCTGTGGCTGAGGGTGCATGTGCAGCACTCTGGTGACCAGCTTGTCCCCAGAAAGCTGCCCCATCCTCAGGCTCCTGCTTTGTGATAAAAAGCACGGTGGATATTCATCATGGTTACTTAAAAAAAAAAGCTCACACCAATGCAACACTACTTAAGGCGCTTCGCATTTTCTATCAGGCATTCACTGAATGAATTTTTCACACCCTGATTATTAAGCAAATCAAAAAACCAGAATTTCAATCTGAATGATAATTTCTGGGAAATCCATCTTAATAGAGAGTTACTGATGCATCAAATGCTGGGAGTTCATCACAATTTCCCCTTGCAAAAGGCGTATAGACTCCGCTTAAAACTACCCAAGATTTACATTTCAGTGATCTCTCTCTCTCTGTCTCTTTGTCTCTCTCTCCCTCTCCATCTCTCTCTTGCCAGTTAAATCCCACCAGGAATTATTTAATTATGTGCAAGGGCTATCATTTTTTCCTCCATGACTCCATATGGTTGTCTAGTGCCAAGTAAACTGCTGGTGTTCAACAAACAAACAGACAAATACTTCTTCACTTAATTTTATATCAGGCAAATGCATGCATAACCAAATCAAGAAACTAGGGGTGGCTCAGTGGTTCCAGCAGAGAAAATAATAAATATTATTTTGGGAGTCATATAAAATTAATAGCTATCTGATTAAAAAAAATTCCTTCTGGCCTCACATGTCAATGTAATCATGCGCTAGCAAGATGCCAGTGCACTGATTTTACAAGGAGTTTCCAAGCATTTGTTTTTATAATTATATCTTTCTGTGGCAGAATACCGACAGGGCTGGAATCTACCACAAGACAGAGCCAGCCGCCCATGTAGAAAATGAAATAGCTGAAGATGAAAGCATGACACTCAGTGGATAATTTGTTTTTCCTGTAATGTTTAATTACAGTTTTTTGTACAAAGGGGATTTTTTTTTAGTATTTAATCACTGAGATAGTTGAAGCGAATTAATGAGATACACATTGCCATTTCCACTTTAATAAAAAAGCCATCGGACATGGGCATAAATGGCAAAGGAGAGTCATTTTCAGTGAGAAACAACAAGATATTACCAAGTTCCTATGGAAAAATAAACATCTCCCTGATCTTGAACTAAGATCCAGAGGAAGCAGGTGGCTGCCATCCTTGGGAGGGCTATTATGATCCACAGGTGTTTCCATCATTCACAGAGAAAGAAGAATGAGAAAATGGAGAAAGACCAAGCTGTCTTCATGTTTCTATCTTAAGCTCAGCATCTAAAGTGAATTTTTAAATAAAAATTTAGCTTTACTGGCGGACAAAATGTGACAGCTACCACAGGAAAATACAATGCTTACAATGCTTCATTGAGTTCACTACTCTCATATTTTCAGAGTGTGGGGAGATCTCAATTATTTGGTCAGATTTCCAGAAGTTTCTATAAGCCAATCATCTATACATGACACTTGCATTAAAATGTCAACAGCCATGCTCTATATGTTTGCCAATACAGAAATATTAGGTGCTTTAAAACTCTGAGTGTGCTGGGGACAGTTAAGGGACTCAAGCATAGTAGGTGAAGACAGAATTATTTCACATGAGTCAGCGAACACATATAGCATCTAACTCATGGAGAAAAAGCACAGGGAAGGCATCTTTGTCGATTGCTAGGGGGTTTCAAATAACAAACCATGCATGGCTGTTCCTGTAACTGCTGTCATATTTGATTGAACTTTGCATTAAGGGTTATTCGAATTTTCATGACTCCATTGAATCAATCGCAAAGGTAATTAAAGTTGCACATGATGTGCCTTTACCTTTTGGTTCTTTCCTCTTGCTTGGTCCTGACCTCGAATTTCTCGTTATGGTAGGTGGCATTCATTTCATTACGGAGCCGGTCATTTTCCCGGGCAATGTCTGAGGCATTCTGAATGACCAAGGCATCATACGTTTTCATCCCCATATCCTCGGTGTTCTGCAGAAAACTGTTGATAGAAGTGACCTCTTGCTGTTTGATGCTCATTTTCTGAAGCAGGTGCTGGCGTGCTAAAAATCCTCTGATAACTTTGATAAAATAACACAATCATATATCAGTGAATAAAGCAAAAATAAAAAAAAAACCTAGACTTACACAAACAAAAGTCACAATGCATGCATCTCTGAGCAGCTGCATAATAAGATGCAGGTACCCCAGAATAAGAATTTACTAGAACATTCTAATCTCATATTCAGAAGAATATCTAAATTCAGTAATGATAGCACCAAAGGCAAAAATCTTTGAACTGAATGAGATCTTGAAGGTAATGATAATAAAAACTGCCACACTATTTTTTTTGATAATATAAGCTAGGCATTAATAAACTGAGTTAAATCAATTAGAAAAGGCTGGATCCAAACCCCAGAGAATTTTGATGTGTGACTCCGACTGGACCATTTTGAGATGTCTGATGATCATTACATCAGATTATTACATAACCTCCAAGGCTCGTGATGTTAATCTTTGGAAATATCATTCCTATATTGCTTCTAAGATTGTGATTAAATGCCTATGGAAATGAACACTACCTTTAAGACTCAAAAAAGACTGTGTCGAAATGTAGGGCATCCTTCCTGCTCACAGGGAAAGGAGGGCTAGGAAATCGTGTAAAAATGAGGGAGAGATAAGTGAGTGAAAATGATTTTAAATCACTAATGTATTAGGAGACAAGGTAAGTATTAAAAATTAAAATAAAAGATCACCATTTAAAGGCACCTCTATGTGTCAGACACCCTCTTGTATCATTTAACTCTGGAACTCAATGATAAAAATACACCGTGATCTCCATTTTAGACACCGTTGTAACTTCCTTTGTGAGATTCACAGAATTTCTCCCACTGAACACAACCAATGAAAGGGAGAACCAGGGTTCATCTCTCTCTCGCTTAGAAGGCCAAGCTACATTCCCTTAGCCTGTAGTCAAATAGACATCATCTGTAGTTCTCCAGGGGGACTCACGGGAAGTCATAGGAAGCATATCTACAATCAATACTAGAAAGAACTTTTTAACAGTTAGCACAGGGTGGAAGGGAATCAGGCTGCCTCATGAGAAAAAGAGTTGGTTCCCAGTCCCAGGTCCTGTGCAAAGCCCTCACAATGGTTTTTTCTCATGGGTGAAGTGAACACGTACAGTCGAGGGATTCTGATTTGAGTCGACCTCTGTGACGCCGTCATCTCTTCCAATTCTAGGTTTCTGGGCTTTGAAAGAGTTGTTAAGATGATAGACTTATTATTTCAGGGAAAACCAACGTGTGCAGCAGAGACACTTTATGTCTGCCCACCAGGGGAGGGAGAAGTCTACAGAACATTAAGAAGTGCTTTAACATTTTTCATGGCTATAAGAGAACAAACACGTGGGATATCTCTAACGTTTGCTTTGATGCCTTTACTTAATGACTTTCTACACTCATATCTTCAGAGAAAAATAATATGCAGGTATCTAAAATGCTTAAAGTTTTTTTTTTAAAGATGGCAATACTAAATGTTTAGTTAGGCTGGAATGCAGCTGCATTAAGTGTAAGATACTCATGCTGAATTAATCTAAAGAAAAAAAATAAACAGTAAGAAGTATAATCAGACAAGACTTGCACGAATATAAGATGCGGAATAAAATAAGAAGTATTAGCCATGTGATGGGCATATTGAGAGAGAAAAAAAGCAGAAGACCTGAGATTGACCAGTTCACTTGTGTTTTCTTGTTACATCAAAAAAAAAAAAAATGGAGAAACTGACTTTTGGAAGGGTGAAGGTGAGAGCATATTCAAGATGTTTAATCTCTTGGAATAAAGAGAAGATTAATGTGGATATGCCAGACTTCTTCTGACCTCCGACTGCAGCAAAACTATTGATGGGCTCACATCCACCCAGAATCTATTATCCTACATCCATTTTCTCACACTTCATCCTAGTAGCCTTTTAAAATTCTTTAAAAATGTTACACCAATTGCTAAATACCAGTATCTTCAACAAGGGACAAATAAAAATAAACTCACCGCTAATGTATACTGACATTTGTTTTCCTTCTATTTCAAAAGATTGCTTCTACTACAACTACCATGGAATGTCTTAATTCACAAATCGTTTGCATCCAAGATAAAATGAACAAACATAGCTAGAGAGAAAACTTCTGGTAGGAAAAAACTGAAGTTAAAATGAGTCAATATGAAACTAATAGTTACAGCTTTCTTTCCCCTGGACATTCACAAAGGAAAAAAAAAAATAGAAATCTTTTTTTAAAATTGGAGATGGCTCCAGATTATATAAAGTTTGAGTAAATTTAATATTAGCCAAAAGCATTTAGGGAACTGTTTTAAGAGATGCAAAAATAAAAATCAATAATTAATGCTTTGCACTTAAAAGCCAGTAATTTTTCAAATGCCCTTGTGTCCATTATTTTACAAACCCAATATGAAATTAGGGTTTTAATCTTGATCTCACTTGTTTAGACCATTCTTAATTTCTAGATTTAGAAAGTGAAAAGATAATTAGAGGTCTTTTCATGTTTTCTGCTCCAGGTCAGTAGGATACAGTAATTGACTTTTGTGAAATAGAAGGGACATTCTACTGGACGCCACTGATGGAAGATGGGAAACAAATTCTACTAATTATATTTAAGGACAATTTTCAAGGGAATTCATGAAGTCCTGTTACATCTATATCTAACATTATATTAAATGAGACGCTCCCTATCCTAGTTTAAGCTGAGGCTGCAAATACAGATTTGGATGCATAGGTCCTGGGTGGAGCCCAAGACTCTGCATTTCTATCCAGCTCCTGAGTGATGGTGCGGCCACTGGTATCCAGATGTCTTGGGCGGGGCCAACCACAGAGACAGGAATTGCAAATGGGTAGGTAGCCACCTGTGCCCTGCACTGATGGTGGTTGAAGTTAAGGAGGACAGATGATCAAAAACCAGAAAGAAGAAGTGTGGTTTACTGAGAGATGGGAGCTGACTGTCTTCTCCCTAACCCCAGGCATCAGGAGACCACCTGGAGAGGGTGGCATGTGGCTGCTGGGGATTGGGGGCTACCATGCACTGTTAAGTCTCGGGGCAAAGCTATGGCTGTAGTTCCTACCCAGCCCCTGACCAGAACACAGGCTCTGCCAGGAGAAGCTGCACCCAAGAAGACATCTGAGAGTTTGTTTCTTTGATGTCTGAGCGGTTTGAACAACGAGATGTCTACCAAGAGAGCAATGTGTTACCAACAGAGAGACTCAGCAGGTCGCCCAGGAGCTGAGCAGAGGATTACAAGTGACTGGCAGAGGAAAAGTTTTGCCAGTTAACAAAGGGAGTCACCAGTCAGGTATTGCGACTTAAACTGCAATCCCAGCATTTTGGAAGGCTGCGTTGGGAGGATTCCTTGAGCCCAAGAGGTCAAGACCAGCCTGGGCAACATAGAGAGACCTTGTCTTTATCAAAAATTCAAAACAATGAGCTGGGCATGGTGTCATGCGACTATAGACCCAGCTACTTGGGAGGCTGAAGCAGGAGAGTCCCCAGAGTTTGAGCTCACTTGTGGCGAGCTGTGGTTGGACACTCCAGCCTGGGTGACAGAGTGAGAACTTATCTCACAAAAAGGGGGGGGGGAGAGAGTCACAGGCATGATCCTGAGTACAAGGAGGGGCATTTAAGTCTGCTCCAGCTGAAGGAGACCCATGCCACAGTACACCTGTGCTATCAGAAGACCCAATCACAAGCCCCACCCACGTCTCCCTTCTCCTCAATAAACCTGGAGAAATCCAGAGGCAGCCTAAGTATTTGGCGCCAGTATCATGCCTCCTCTGGACAGAACAGGCCTGAAACAGATAAAAGAATGTTTCGACCTGGAATGAGGTTCTGAACTTTGGTCACTACCTATACTCGGTAAGCAATTCTGAACTGAGATATTGTTTGAGGGACTAGCATGTATCAATACTTGTTTCATTTACTTTTATTTTCTTTAATTTTTACTTTACTTTAGTCTTTTTTAGAGATCAGGTCTCGCTCTGTGGTCCAGGCTGGAGTGCAGTGGCTTGATCATAGCTCACTGCTGCCTGGAACTCCTAGGTTCAAGCAAGCCTCTCACCTTAGCCTCCTGAGCTGCTGGGAAGACTGGCAGGCGCCACCATGCACAGCTAATTTTTAAAATATTTTTAGAGATGGAATCTCACTATATTGCCCAGGTTCATCTCAAACTCCTAGCCTCAAGTGATCCTCCTATCTTAGCCTCCCGAGTAGCTGGGAATTATAGGTGCGCTTTTTATTATTAAAAAATTATGAAGCCTGGCTCGGTGGCTCAGCCTGTAATTCCGTGCCTTTGGGAGGCTGAGATGAGTGGATTGCCTGAGGCCACGGATTTGAGACCTGCCTGGGCAGCAAGACCTCATCTCTACAATAAATTAAAAAAATCAGCTGGGTGTGGTAGTGCATGCTTGTAATTCCGGCTACTTGGAAGGCTGAGGTGGAAGGATCGCCGGAGCCAGCAGGTCGAGGCTGCGGTGGCTGGGAGCAGCCACTGCACTCCAGTCTGGGCGACAGAGTGAGACTCCAACTCAAAAAAAAAAAAAATTATGAGACCCATTGAAGATTTCATGCAGGGGCATACCCAAACAAGTCCCTCAGAAGAAATGAAAAAAGGCTTGGAGACAATAAAACTGATTTTTTGAGTCTTATCAGGTTTCCCTGTGAGAGTCGCAGTTTCAAATATATCAGAGTTAAGTGTATTATAAGTTCCATTAAAAGCTACCATATAGATTAGTTTTTCCCTCCTTTACCTATCTTTAAGGACTGTATATATGTATATATACATACACACACATGAAATATAAACTATTAAGCAAATTATAAATAGAAATTTATAAAGCCTATGCCTCATATGAGGCATAGTTACCATTTTAAAATGTACCCATTTTCAATACTCAGTTGGGTTTTGATAGGAAAGAAAAAATTCTGAATGAAATCTCTCCTAAAGTTACAATGAATGATAAAGGCAGTGTCCAGATATTATTGTCACTTCATAAAGGAAAAATAAAGTCAAGGGTTTTTCCAAAGCATATATAGAATCATAGAAAATGTTCTGATTGCAAACTAGTACCACCTCTGTGGAAAACAGTGTGGTGATTCCTAAAAGATCAAAAAGTCAACCTTGCATGACCCAGCAATCCCCCATCTGGGAATAGACATGGGGGAACTCAAATCACCCTATGAAAAAGGGATACTTGTGCACACATGTGTATTGCATCATTATTCACAATAGCGAAAACATGGAACAAACCATGCTGCCCGTTGAAAGTAGACTGAATAAAAAAATGTGATACATATACAAGATGGAATATGACACAGCCATTCAAAAGGACAAGATTATGAACTTCACAGCAACTTGGATGGACGTAGAGTCTATGATACTCAGCGATCTATCACAGAAACAAAGAACTGAGTACCACATGTTCTGACTCATAAGCAGACCCTGAACAATTATCATAATACGACATGAAAGGAATTGGCAGTAATGGGGCACTGCCAGGGCCAGGAGAGGGGAGGCATAGCACCAATGAGGGCACCTGATCTAAACCAAGTGAAGCGGAGACCAAAGGGAGGCCCCAATTTTACCTGTACAAGTACCGATTGTATACCTAACCCTGAATTGTACCCCGCATCTTTAAAATAAAAAAAAAGAAAAGAAAAAAAGAAAATGTTCCTTGGCTCGTCACTTTGTCCCAGTTCTCCAAACTCTGGCATGCCAATGGCACTCCTAAAACAGCATGGAAATTTGGTGCTATAATTGCATCTAAATGACAGGTCAGGCCCTGATAGCTCACACCTGTAATCATAGCAATTTGGAAGGTGGAGGTGGGAGGCTCGCTTGAAGTCAGGAGTTCAAGACCAGCCTGGGCAATGTAGCAAGACACTGTCTCTATCAAAAATAACAAAAAAAAGTAGCCAGGCATGCTGGTGAGCAGCTGTGGTCCCAGCTACTAGGGAGGCTGACGTGGGAGGATACCTTGAGTCAGGGAGTTTGAAGGTGCAGTGAGCTAAGATCGAGCTATTGCACTTCAGCCTCAATCAATCAATCAATATCAAATGAGGAGCATTTTCTGCTGCAAATTCAAAGGTGCATTCTTATTGCCCTGTGCTTTCTGAAAGGATACTGAATATTTTCAAGGTAATGGATGTATACATAAAATACACACACACACAAACACACATGCACATGGATCTATGTTCCTTCTCCTAAGTTGTAATTTAGAAGGAAATTTAATATAAATTTTTACATGAAATGACTACCAAATAAGGCATAAGCCATGCCTACACATGTTGATGAAAAGATAGGTGCATAACAGAGTAAACCACAATGCTTCCTAAATACCCCCAAATTATTTTCCTGAATGTAGTATCTGGAAATGGATAGAGTGATCCACTACAGAGTAGATACTATTGACATTTAAACTCAAGGATGTACTAAATGGTCTTGCATTTCACAACTCAAAGAAGCTCAGACATGTTGGCATATAACTGTTACCTTTCTGGCAGGTTATGATTTTCCTCTGCAACTGGAGGCACAAATCATTGAGCTGGTCAGCATGCCAGTATTTTAGAAACACTTTTCGGACTCCCATCTAAAATGCAAACAGCAGGGAAATATTTAACAGCATAAAGAAGCCAAAATGATGATGGAAAAATAATCGCACAAGAGGTTTTCCTAGCAGAGGATGAGAAGGAACAAACGAACAAAATTAGTTACAGCACTTCCCCCTTATTTTTAAACACTATTACATTTAATCAAAATCCAAAGGGTTCTGTTTTAGTAAGTACGTTTGCTGTGTGCATATGGTTACCAGTGTTTGCAAATGCCTCCACACTACTGATGTGGTGGTGACGTCATGCAGTGCAAAAGAGAAAACATTGGCCTTGACTTCATCAGAAGATAAAACCATCTCCATGAATGAGTTTCCACATTCCAGAACTAGGTTAGACCCCTATGTTTTCTTTGTGATCCTTGTCTCTCCTACTCCAAGCAGGGAGATTGGGTCTACGTAGAGGAAAACAAACACACAAGAGTCCAAATAAAACATAAAACAAACTCATAAAGTTGTTTCATTTGAATTATTTTGTCATTCGACCATATATGATTATAAATTGAATGCTTATACAACTGCAATTTTAGAACTCAGCACAAAAGTAAAACAAGTGTAAAGAAAATTATCTTTGATGTCTACACAGCAATAGTTATGCAATGACATGTTACCCCCCGCACCCTAATACTCATTATAGTCTCTCAGCAAGAAGTTTTTTTCTCTGCCTCCAAGTCTGACCTGATATGCTGCTCTGTCCTGTAAAACCCCCAGTCCACTTCTCAACGACCCACCATCAGGTGCTAAGAAATCTCTAATATATTCTGAGAAGAATCCACTTTATCTTCTGCAATCACTCTTCCTCTAATTTTGTTTTCATATTCAAACCCCAAACTGGCTATTTCCTGAGCATACACTATTCTGAAGTTTTGCTTTTTCTCACTTCCTTTGTCTTAGAGAGGGAGGAGATGGGGTCAAATGACTCCTTTCTCCTCCACCAATGGCTTCACCATTGGTGGGATATTTTCTCCCCATCTCTCCTTTTTCTTTTAATCCCTCCATGATTTACACCGTCACCTGCTGCTTCCCATGCTTTGTTTCTGGATCATTGAGTGACCTAGGGTCTGACTTAAGTTTTCATTTTCCACCACACCTCTTTTCCATCCTATCACGATCATCTTTCACTAGTTCTCCTCTTATACAAGGACGTCAGAATTCTTTATATTGTGTTCTTATTTTTCTTATCTGAATTCATCCTATCCACTTGTCTACATTCTTGTTCACTTCAAGAATAAATGTCCATTTTCCTAGCAAGATGAAAACACACATAATGGCAGATAGGCAATGCACTATAAAAATAAAAAAACAGAGCTGGGCTCGGTGGCTCAGCCTGTAATCCTGCACCTTTGGGAGGCTGAGGTGAGTGGATTGCCTGAGCCCGCGGGTTCGAGACCCGCCTGGGCAGCGAGACCTCATCTCTACAATAAATCAAAAAATCAGTCGGCCATGGTAGCACGTGCCTGTAGTTCCAGCTGCTTGGAAGGCTGAGGTGGAAGGATCGCCGGAGCCCAGTAGGTCGAGGCTGCGGTGGCCGGGAGCGGCCACTGCACTCCAGTCTGGGCGACAGAATGAGACTCCGACTCAAAACCATAAAAATTAAAAAAATTAAAAAAGAAGTAAAAAATCATTCATAGTGTGTTTTGGGATCACATACGGAAAGTGTCAAAGCCCTAATGGAAGTGGGAAAGTGAATTTCAAAAACCTAGTAATAGAGATGAGGTTTGGTTTTAGTGGTCAAAGGTAAATAGGAGTTGGCCAACAAGCAAACAGCAGTTGCAGAATCTTCCAAGCCTAAATCGTTCATGACATTATATTGCTTGTCTTGCCAACTCCCTCCCAAAGCCCAGTTCAAACACTCAAGCTCCATACAGTTTTCACAAGGAACTTTACAAAACTCAAGACAAGTTTTTAAGAACATTTTTATAACATTTAGATCTGACCTTCTGAATCTTTCAGCCTGTCCCAGTAACTCACTAGGAAATGTCCACATTTTTCCTGTAAGCCCCTTCACGATATGACCGCCATTTACATGTGTCATCTCCTCTCCCATGGCTGACCACACAGCTGTCCTCCCAGGCAGTTTGTCCTATTCTGGTTCTTGTCTTTCATGTGCTAGTTTCTTTGTCTCCCATTCATCTTCTTCTACCATCCCAAGATGCCCTGGGACATTCCTGGTTATCCCCCAAGGCCAAATGGCTCAGGAAACAAGCTTCTTAGTGAACCCTCCCGGTCACATCTTGATCACTCTCTTCTCTTAAGTGCTGTTTTCCTTGGACCTAACTCTATCATTACACTGCCCTCTGCAGACCCACCACAGAAAACCATAAGCTCTTTGAGAACAGAGACCTCCTTTGCGTTCCCTAAATCTAGCACAATGCTCAAGTTAAATCTACTTTGAGCCTTTGAATAGCTGTTAGAAATGTCACCATAAGACAGCATAATCTTATTGTCCAACTCTTTCCCTGCCCAGGGTCTCTGCTGACTTAAGGGAATGGAACTAGAATCCACTTCTACTGCCATTCAACAGGTTTTTTAGCCATATTGTTCTTTCATATGCTATGCCCCTCCCCCACCCCAATCATGATTATTGGTTCCATCCATTGTGGAGTATTGCTGGACATCATTCCCTTAGAGTTTCATTTTGGAACCCAGGTTTGTATGAATTTTGCCTTTGGGATTTAGTTTCCCACAGTGAGTATCATCCCACAGTCAATGATGAACAGAGAGGTGACATGCTCCCTCCTTCCCAATGCCTGTCTCACAGATTTGTTCTGCAGAGCTCACAGACAGGACCAACTGTTCTTCCTGTCGACTGCCAAAATAAGTCAGCAGTTGGGAAGGAAAAAAAAAGGACTATGAATTATGGAAAATAACTGGGACGAGAAAATGGCAATACAATGGAAAAAAAAAAAGAGTAACAACTCTCAGTAACCACCCACTCATGTTGCTGTCTCAAATTTCCACCAACTAAAAGAAAACTAAATGAAGAAGCAATCTAGTCAGCCAGAAGTCTCCGAACTAGACCAGAAGTTGAGCACTTTCCACCTGGATCGAACTAATTAGCCTGATTACCATAACGCCAGATTTGGGACCAAAGCTCTGGCAAAACTGTGTGTTGCGTTAAAACAACAGATCACATAGGAAAGAGTTGGATGGAGGGGGAATGAGTGACAAAATACGTTTGCAACAAACTCGGTTTTCATATGAAATGGTTCATAAAACATCTCTGGCCAACCAGGCTGAAGTTACAAGTCTGACCTAGAAATCTTTCCAGTACATAATGGTGTGTGCATGCACGCCAGCTTCTGGTGACACTGTGATGCATGGCACTGGCAGTGGGGCGTTATCATTTTAATGTCCCAGGCTCTTCTTCTCATTCTAATGGTGTTTGTCTTGGGCGCTGAGAATATGATTATCAACTCATCACATGCAGTGTTTTTCCTTTATACAAACAGAATATCACCCCAGAGCTTCCTTGGTACGTCACGTTAGGATTTGCCACGTTAGGATTTCTGCAATTATTTACGTCTGCTTCTCCTAAGAGGCTATGAGCACTTACTGTGTGAGAGGTATTCCTCACACCCACCATGGTTCTGCGAATTCTTAGAAAACAAGCACCACACACAAGAACATTGTTTTAAAAGTGTATGGACATGGCTTATTGTTACGTGTTTTTAAGAAGTTTCTCTGGCAGCTGTCTTCATCCATAAAAGTACGTCTGGGTAAGACAACACACCCCTCGAGCTTGTCATAGAAACCAATTTGGCGTCATGCTAAAATTTCCTTTTCAAAATTCTGGAGAAGTACATTCATTGCGTAACTACCGCCGAGCAGACATCTAGAAGATAGCAGTTGCTCAAAGATAATTTTCTTTACACTTGTTTTACTTTTATGCTGAGTTCTATCATCACAGTTGTGTAAGCATTCGATGTATAATCATATATGATAGAACGCAAAAATAATTCAAGTAAAACAATTTTATGCGTCCGCTTTATGTTTTATTTGGACTCACGTGTGTTTGTTTTCCTCTATGTAGACTCAGTCGCCCTGCTATGAGTAAGAGAGACGAGAACCACAGAGGAAAGATACAGGTCCACCAGTCTGGAATGTGAAAACTCATTTATGGAGATAATCTGATCTTCCGATAAAGGATAACAGTCAGGGAGGAGCAGGGTGGAAAACTGAGGCACAGGGTATATATTGGAGACAAGGAGGAATGAGAGAGCTGTGCAGACATCTGCAGTGTGGAGTTTGGGTATAGTTGTGTCTATGCAGATGTGCCCTGCTGAGATCCAACCAAGGACTTTGTAAGTTATGAGGCACTTCAGGGTTTCTGATTCAGTAGGAAGAAAACAGAAGATTGAAGTTACCATAAAGTATTCCATCAAGACCTGGCTAAAGACTGCAAAAATGACTGAGTATTGTGCTACCATTACATTTAGATGATATTTAAAAAAAGGAAGAAGAAACAGAAACAAACCTCCATTCAACTACTTTGACATCCATAAAGGTATCCAATGGACCATTTTATTTTACACAGTTTTGTAGCCTGTGAGCTATTTGTGCATTGGCAATACTTGTACAGACTCAATGGAGGGCTTGGCATTTGTTTGACTTTGCTGGTTTTTTAGAGAAGTCACATTTGTAGGAAATGTTTTTTGTCTTTCCCAAAAGACTGAAATTAGCAACTTAGTAGTATTTTGGAGTTCTTCCTCAGAAGCCATTCTGAATTTAGTTTTTACAGTTTCCTAATTCCACTGAAATTAATGAGGACACACATCTCAGAATCCTTCTTTAGCAGGAAAACTCAGACAAGCTCACATAAATTCTGAATTCAAGTATTTACAGTGTCTACTAATGACATTGACTGGAAGAAAACTGTTGGCCATTTTGGGGTTCTTTTTCTATGAATTGAATGCTACAGTATACTCAGTGTCTTCAAGTGCTATTTCAAATCCAATAAATTAAGGCTCATCTGAATCAGA